TACGGAAATCACAAAGTTACAACATTCACTCCGATTGCATTGTCCACGTGACAGCATTTCTTTTCCAGCTTTTGAACCGATCAGGCCCAGTCATCTAGCCCTGGTTAGTTAGCCCCCTTTTGAAACTCATTTCGCCCCAAAGATACTGGTACTCAGTAGGTAAGGGAGGGGTAGTACTTCTGGGAATTCTTGGTGGGAGTGTGCAGCCCAGTTCACCAAATCCCGACTCTACTTCAAACCATGTCTTTTTCCACACCTGTTTTCAGACCTGGCCTCTATGTAATCATTACTTAGATTAGAACACCAACAAAGACGTTTCTCAAAATTCATTTCAAATTCACATATGCCTCTGGCAAAAAAAGTTCATACCCGGTTCCAGCCCGAAATGGGTAGAGTCTATACTCATTTTCAGACCAAAATGGTGCAAAAAATACCTTTCGTGATGGCACATACCTCTTAGGCTTATATAGGACCTCCCTCCCCATGTACAGGTAACAATGACTAGCCAAAAGTGACTTTTTGACTTCTCTGGAATATTAATATAGTCTAAAGCCTAAATCTCTTTGAACAGGAATCAAGATAGGGAACTAGGAAGTAAAATATAAGTACTAAATATGGAAGATCTCAGGAAGAGGCCTGTTTAGGGGCCACCATTTGGCTTAAGAGGGGGGGTATGGGCAATCTGGTTTGGGCAAAAAAAATTTTTTTTCTCTAAACCTCTGGTGATAGAATCCTCTTCCCCAGCACAGAACAGTGTAAGATTTTTTTTCCAGGATTATAATCCATGAACTATATTTTTTTCAGCGTAGGAAATTTTTTCCCCATGTATTTCCTTATAATAATTTTTTTCCCCTCAAAATCAGTCTGCAAGATATTTTTTCCGGAAATCACCTATACCCCTCTTCAAAAGTCAAATTGTAGGCCCCGTGATAGGTGAGGGGAGTGGATGTCCCTAGTCTGACTGGTGTCTGTATTTGCCTATTGAGGAGAAAACCATGTCCCTGTGGGTATTTCACTATTTGCACTTGACTCCATCGCTGTTGCAGTTTTAATCCATGTTTGTGTTGTTTGTCACCACTGGGAGCCATTCATTATTGGCTTACACTTTCAAGGCCACACCACTGTCTTGTCAGAATTTACCCTTACTGAGCTTATGGGTGGATTCCCGAAACTCTCTTGACAAAAATCACCAAAGATGGGCTATATACTATTAGAGAGTTTTCAAGAATCTCACTTCTGGTTTCTAGATGTTTGTCAATATATTGAATTTAAAGGATCAGACCGATGGGCTTTTTAGGTCAATTTCTCTCCAGAAGAAAACACTTCTAGGAAAATGGGGAGACTGAAGATCATCACTGCATAAAAATACACCTCTTAGGCTACATATCTTTTCCAATTTGAACAATTTACAGATGATTTCCTCCAAAGTTCAGTGTGGCTCATTAAGACCGAGAATTGGTTAAGCAAGGAGATTGTTCTAATGTTACTGGTAATGTCTAAATAAACAGCCAAAAAGTCCATGAAATGTCAGGCACAATGAACGTCATCTCGTAAAAAGTAGAGGAACTACATTATTTCTAGTGCTTTATTCCCAATGATTACCCCTTGAATTTGACAAATAAAATTCTTGCAACTCCAAGACTGTTTTTCAAGAGGAAAAAAATCTTTAAAATATATACATTAACTTTTTAAAAATCTTAACATGTACTGAAAATGCCAGCATATTTCCAGTATTAATGTATTTATAAAAAAATAGTTTTTTATTCAAGGCTTATATCATCAAATGATTGCTGCAGCTCTTCTAGATGACTTTCACCATTTCCCTGCTGATCTTTTTCCACTGTTGAGATTTCACTGTTAATAGTAGTGTGTTTTTTACATGAACAGCTTTTTAATTCTTCCATGTAATGCTGTCTGAGGTACTCTCGTGACCTGATATCTGCCTGAAAGACAAAAAATGATTGTGGTAGACAAAATTTTCCTATCCTTAACAGCAATTAAGGATACTTGGTGTATTCTACATATCCCTTAGCAAGTTTGTGCAGCAATATATTTGCGTAATACAGAAATGAAGGGAATAAATTTTTGCCTTCACATACTACTAATAAATTATTATTTTCCTCACTTTTTGCCAGCTAATAAACTGACATATTCCCCCCCACCCACCCCCTTTATCTCTGATACAGTGTCCTGAAGCTGACGATCTGGCCAGAAAATCATTTTCCCACTTCCACAAACATTGCTTCTTTCTTACATAAGTAAAATGTATGACAGTTAGTTCCAGTATTTTCAATTACACAATTCTTACTTGTCTGATTGGTTCTGGAATTCTGTATTGACAGCAGGCATGTGTCAGTCTAACAGCTGTTTCCAGGCCTATCTTATGCCCAACCGACACATAGATAGGGTTACATGATCTGTGAGTACTCCTTAGAGCCTAAAATGAAATCAAAATATGCTGAATTATCCCACAGTTAACCTTGTGGTTTTCTAAAAGAAAAATCAATAACTTATGCATGGCCTTATTTTCCACACTTCTTCCATATAATTTATTGCAAAATGAAGCTAAAGAAATTTACCTTGCCCCATATTGTACCAGAAGAGCCTTGAAGAGGAAAGCTATCTCCGCTAGTTTTGAGAAGGTTTTTGATCTGTTGATAAAGGAAGCAAACCAATGATTACTTCCAATAATTTATTGACAACATGAGAAAAAACAAATTTCAGCATTAACTGGTCACCCCAGAGAAAATTGTTTAATAAACCAATGACTTTTTTAAACCAAATCTTTATAAACCTAAATTTAATTTTGTCCTGTAACACATTCACTAGTCCTGACCTGGTCAGCATGTTGGGAGTCTCGCTGAATCCCATCAACATGGAAAAGAGTCTTGGCCACACCTACTGTAGGGATGCCTGTCAGTACCCCCAGGTGACAAGCAATTCCAAACCCTAGTCATAACCAACATAAACAAGTAAATCATACTACCAACAATGCGCTAGTTGGAAAACTATGGAGTTGAAACAGGCCTTTCAATATAATATACTCGAAAACTGCAGCGGTTTCAATTATAACTTTTCAATAACTGGCTACTAGTGGTGGATTGGGTGGCTGTGACCAGGAAAGTGGTCATTACAATATTAATCTTCTAAACAAAATGTAACAGAGTATTATGAAGTTCCACAAACAAAGATGGGCCTTAAATGACTGGCCTTAAATGACTGGCTTATTCAATAAGCCTGAGTCACAGTTACTGTCAGTCTGTCGTTATTGAAAGTACTGGGATGAACTCCTTGACACAAGCTCACTCTGTCAAGGGACTTCCTAATTTGCAGTATAACAGAACATGTTGTCCAACAAGGATTGGTTTTTTAAGCCCTCTCAAGTCCTCAAGAGAGAATTCGATAAGGTTGTCCTATTAACGAGGCCCTCTTGACTTTACGGGGGTGGGGGGGGATATACCAATAGTCTGAATTTCCAATAAGTTTTGACGAGTAAGCCATGCCCCTGTCAGTATTTAACCCATCTTTATGTTGTTTGTTGCCTTTTCGTCTAGTCTTATATCACTTTTTCAAGGCCATATCACTTGTCAGAATTTTACCCTTACAAGGCCTCGTTAACTATGGTTATGATACAGGTGATGTAGTTAAAGTCATAGATTTATTAATTCTCTTGAACAGACTTGGGATAAGCACACCTTCACTTGGCATAATTGGAAGTTTCAACACCACTTTTTCAAGAAATAATAATCAAACCTCTTGGATGTAACATTCCATTTCCATCAACTAAAATGACCTGAGGAACCAGTTCTGGTTTACTCTTCAGCAGTCTGGAGACACAATTAACAAGGAATTCAACTTCTCTGAAAGCCAGATATTCTGGAACATAAGGTGATGAAAGGTGCACCATGGTTAGATCCTCATATACAACCTGAATTATTAAAGAATATTTAAACATCTTTATCAGCAAGATCCTCTGCAATGAAGTACACAATTTTACTGAACTACATACTGCAAAATTTATGGCGTTAGCCTGAAAAACAATATCATTAAAATCTACATAATTGCTTTGCACAATACTCCACTAGTTTAAGGGTTATTACTTTGGCCCCAGGTTTAAATTCAAAATGTAGTACAACAGAAGCAATAGGGACAAGAATATGACTAAGTTACTAGAAAAGGGTAGATTCTACATTGAAAGGGTCATCCCAAAGTAAGATGGAAAATGGACCAATTTCACTAACTAATTATTATGACTTAATACCAAGAACAACACCAACAACAACTATAATAAATTGGTAAGGATATTCATAGTTGGTAAGATTTCAAAACCAATAATTGATAAAATTATTTTATCACTGCACGGGGGAATAGGCAAGATTCTTTCAGCATGGGATCTTGCCGAGCATCTCACTGGGATATGGGAACAGTGCCACTCATGTCATTGTAGGATCAGCTCCTAGGTAATCTAGGGTATCCAACTCTGCCTGAACTGCACTATATTTTCCAGCCAAAAACTTGACTCTCTTTTACTTGGGCAGGTTTAAAAATTTGTAAAAATTCATTGAGAATCAGGTAATGAAAGAACTTCTAGGATACACTACTGTACCTTTAAGTCAGGAAAACTAAGCACAATTAAGCACGCACAAGCATGATCAGCATCTCCCTTAGGAAAAGAAATATCCACTCCAGCAATCAGATTCAATTCACTGAAAGGCTCATCACTTGAAACTCCCCAGTTAATGCAGTCATCTGTCACAAGCTTCTTCTTTAGTTCAATTTGTTCCCTAAAAAATGGAGTGGTGGATTCAGTTTTTCAAGTAGGAGGAGCCCGCTCATCCACCCCATGAAAACCCTAAGACAAAAGGGAGGCCAGCCTCGAAAATATCGTTTTTTTTCTTGGCTCTGCAGGCTTCAGTTTCCCCTAAAAATAAGGTGGGGCTGATAATTCTGAATAATATGCACCCAGCCTGGTCAATTGATGAAAATCATTGATTGGGATTCAATCAATGAATAGATGCCGAACTTTTCGTGAGCCAAACCTAATACAGTACATTAAATTAGGTTCATGAAAAGTTAGGTGTCTGAATCAAATAGGAATGCCTATTTCAACTTGGAATGGTTCAGCCGTTCTTCCTGCCTAGCCCAGCAGGGAACTTCGACTATGGATCGACTTTGGAATGGCTTCGATTCAGAAGGTGAACTTTTCATGTACCTAATCTAATGCATAAATTATGATAATGTATTTTGCAAGCAGTTTGAACATAATGAGCATTTTTCTCCTTTTGAATTTAGTTCAGCTGGAATAAAGATCAGCATCTGAATCAATTCAGGTGGTCTAAATAGTTTGGTTCGGGCTTAATTCGAATTAGGTTCAGCTCATGAAAGGTTGATCAGCATCTGAACCGGGCCTTAGTTAACAGATTTGGATTGCTATAGGTATTGATGATCAAGTCACAAATAAATTAATTTTTCCTTCTATAGGCAACTAGGCACCGATTAGAAACAACAAAAGAAACAATACAACCAAACAATGAAGCCTCCAGAAGAACTCTATTGTTTGGTTCCTTTGAGTTTCTTTTGTGATGACGGTAAATGCAGAAAGACCCAATCAATTGCCATTAGTTGTCATCGATATCGCATACTGCAGGTGACAATGAGATCACTATAAGAGTTTTTCTATGTTAAGAACCCATCCAACAGCAAAACAACTACCAAATTTTCCAATTAATCTAATATAACAACTAATATTGTTTGGTTCCATTGTTTCTTTTGGGATGAGGGTACCTGCAGAAAGACCCAATCTATGCTATCACTTGTCATTGATATCACATACCGTGGGTGACTGTGAGATCACTTTAAGAGTTGTTGCTTTGTTAAGAACCGATCCAACAGCAAAACAACTAACAAAATTTTCCAATAAATCGAGTAATTGGCATCGATTAAAATATACCGATTGCTATCAATTATTTATCGATTGAATCCGGTTTACTTCTAGAAATAAAAATTAACTGGTTTCATATTAAAATGCTTGCAAATAATTCAAGTTTAGAAGTTTCTTGAGAACTAATCCGACCTTTTCCATGTTTCCACGATCTCATTTTCAACCAGTTGTTCCGATTCTTCCGAATCATTGGAAGCCATTTTGATTCCTTGGAACTTTCTCTTTTAATTCGTGATCATTACACCTAAGCATGGAAAATGCGATTCATTGTCACCAGAATGTGGAACGTTCGTATGAAGAATGCATTGCAAAAGTGATCATCATCCCTTGTTAGAGCCGTAGAAGAATAGAAAGTTGTACAACATCTTCAGAACTTTGCATCAGATCGAAGCCAGCTGAAGTTCGCTGATGTTTGCAAGATTCGCGCCAATATTGTTCCCGCTAGTATCACTTGGAAGCGAGGCTAGCATTTCCATAGCAACTAAGAAACCATAAAGGTTGTTTTACTCCGCCATCTTGGGAAATTTTATGGGAAAATAGAGAAGTTATGGCAGAGAATCCAGAAGGCGGTGTAGCCCAGGAAACTGGAGGATATGATTACAAACGGCTTCACAGTTATCCCCTTATTCGCGTAAGTTGAAATTAAGTTTAGGGAGGAGGATGCAAGGCTGCCCCTGTTATAATTAAATTCAGTGCGAAGGCCTTCCACCTCCGTCAAATACGGTATGTTTTTTTTTCAGTATTCGGACATGAACGATGAAATGCGAACTGAAGCAATGGAGCTCTGTGTTACAGCTTGTGAAAAGTTTTCTGCGAATAACGAGGTTTGTTGGGCGTATTTCTTAAGTGGGTTAACCAGAGCAGCTTTTAGTGAAAGGCCACGTATGTTTTAGTGGAAGGGAGAATGTCTGTTCACACCTATCCCTCCAACCCCTTCAATCCTAGCCGCCCTTCATCCCTGTTGTTGACTTACCTTAAAGGGGCTGGATGGATCAAATAATTCACTAAGTGACTTGTGATCTAACGTCAAATTCTTCCTGAATCATGGCTGTGAAAAGCATACACAAGTCTTTTATTGAAAGAAAGAATCCTAATAATCTAATAGAAGAACACAGTTTATCAGAAGTCAATTAGGGCTTTATTCCAAAGTGAGGGGAAACCTGGAATTATTTAACGCCTGCCTTAAATCATTTAAAACCAGCAGTAGGTGAATTAGTGCCGTTAATATCAAGTGACTTAATCATAAGACAATGATTAATAGAACAAAGATATCATCATTAGTTGTCAATGTTACTATCTCTCAATTTTGGTTTGGTTTGAATCCGTCAGCCCACCTCCGCTGCAGTGTAAGGATAAAGCAATAAAAAGAAAGGGGAATGAATAATTTTATTATTGTCATCATCATCATCATCATTATTCAAATGTGCACTCTGTTATGTTTTCAGGCTGCTGCAAAAATGATAAAAGAAAGCATGGACAAAAAGTTTGGTTCATCCTGGCATGCAGTAGTGGGAGAAGGTTATGGCTTTGAGCTCACACATGAAGTCAAAAATCTTCTT